TGGAGCTATTTTCGAGATTTCGTCGGGGCACAGAAAATCGAGGATTTAACGGAATTCAAAAATTTTTTCGCAGAACTATTTCAAATAATAAGTAGATTCGTTCTAGCGAAAAAAAATTTTTGGGGTTAGGTGCACTTTAAGACTACAGTGCTAAAACCAAAAAAATGGCCAAAATCGATACCCTATTTTATGACCAAAACGGCTGAAAAACTCTACCCTTTGGGGCTGCACATACCTATATAGCACATATAAGGGAGTACCCTCGGGTATTTCCGGTGCACACTTTACATGGCTACCGATTGGTTCACGAAGATAAACCAGTGGGGGAGGAGTTATTTACTGTTTATCCAGTCGTCTGCACGTATTACGTGCCTATTAAAATGCAAACAGCATTTTTACCCTTCCCATCCTATCCCTGTTGGTGTGTAATCGTGTCAACATGCTTGTTGACACGCACAAGTGAAATTTGCGTTTGTGCGAAGGTTGAAGAGCTGTGTGGTCAAACATTGAAGCTTTTAAAATTTGTAAGAATGGGTAAAGTTGATTTCTTTGTCGTCGAATTCTACGGAGGCAAGAGAACTTTTTATCCCGGCGAAGCAATAAATGGCACTCTTCGTTTGAAGGTGAACAAGGAGCTGAAGTTGCGAGGCATTCGATTGGAGTTTCACGGTAAAGCTTCAATACATTGGTCTGAATCGACAGGATCAGGTAAAAACAGGAGAACAAGGCATTACAGTAACAGCGAAACTTATATCGATACTTTGGCGACATTGTTTGGCAAAGGTAAGCTGTTATTTTCAAAATATACTAAGGTTACATGTAAGTTTTCCTGCTGTTTTATAATTGAACATAATAATTGATCGGAGCTCAAAACGCCACGTTTGTAAAGCTAAAATTGACTCTCATAAGTTCCGACACATGATATTTAAGAAGTTGTTTAGCTGAAATTGACTCTTCCATCTCCTTTTCATAATTAATAATGCATTGTAGGTCATCATAAGCTTTTTTCAGGTTAAAGATATCAGCACCTGTTTGTTAAGTGGCGTTAATTAATAGCACTCGGCACGTTTTCATCTTCTCATCAGCTAAAATGTTTTGATCAATCTAGTTATGAGACATTCAGAACCTGGCAGACAGAAGGAATTAAGGGACCTGGCAGACAGAAGGAATTAAAGGGGGTGGGGGGCGAGAGGTGAGGAGAGAGGAGAGAGAACCTAAAAAATGATTTTTTTTTTTCGGTTACCGTACCAACCTTAAAGTAATTCCTCTGAAATAAAAGTTACAATAGATTTTTGTTCAAACTTTGTCCACTGAATATTTGTCATATGATAACTTCAATTTTGAAATAAAAAAGGTG